TTTCATGTACACATAGACTACCAAGAGGGGCGCAGCCTGCTGGATGTGTTTGTCAGGATTCTGGGATCGTCGTCTGCAAAATGAAAGCCGACGCGTCGGACCGGCGGCCAATTTTCGCGCATTCACGCTTTCCGACCTGCCTCTCTTAATGTCATCGTTGTTTGTGCATGCAGCACAGGCGGCGGCAGCCGTGCGGGCCGTACTTGTGCTGTGACAGATGAGCATCATGTTGCACCGGCATTACAGGTGCGATTATAGGCGAGAATCGAGTAGAGGAAACATTTAAGACTGGTACATTTCGTCGTTTACTCTTACCACTTAAACTTTTTTTAGTTGAGACGTTCCAAGTGCCTGTGAGCACCACAGCCAGGCATACGCATAGCTCTAGCACTATAGGCTATCCCGCAGCTACAGTTGCGCTTGGCCAGCGGCAACTGTACGCGGCCTATCAGTACTAGAGCCTAAGCAGCACCAGCCCACCGCGCCACACGGCACTTGCGCCACACCGTCGCCCTCCTAACTAAAACCACAAACCTACTAGCGTAAGCCGCGCCCCCCGCTCGTCTGCTCATCCAACCGCCCTCTCCCATCTAACATTTCCTCCACAACAAGGCGTACAACACCCGTCGACGCCCTCGGTGGGGGGACCGGTAGCACATCCTAGTACTATCAGCCTTCCAGGGGAGGCGCGCTCTGCCCTTCACGCTCCTCTCAGCCACCTCTCTCCCCCGACAAAAGCCGATCATTTCCCGGCGGTGCGGCGCACCCAGTCGTGGCGCCCACCCTCCGCCGCGATCCCTCAGCGCCGGTGAGCGCGAGCCCGGCGGCCTCCGACGCCCCGCACTCGTCCCGAGGCCCAAGGCGGCCGACGTCGACCACTGACCCACCACGACACGAACGCCGAGCTAGCATAGCTAGCAGTCCTGACTCCTGCAGGCATCCCACGACTCGTAAAAACACACCGGCCACAGCCCCGGTGGCCACCCGAGTTTTGCATCGTATTCACTACCTACCAATTATGTTATCTCTCATCGCTAGACATCACCGGGCCTGTGAAAAACAACCCCCACCTCATCACACCCGCTTTTTCTTCCCGTACACCTCTTCCTAGAGGCGGGGGAAAGCCGCTGGCCCCCCGCCCCCGGCCCCCCCCCCCCTGAGGTCTCGGAGTGCCCGCTTTGTACGGTTTTGACAAATTGTATTCGGATAATCTGTCTGAACAACCCCTAATGAAACACGAAATGTATTTACTAAAACCAAGAGGTCTGCATGTTTCTCTACTCTCATTTTGCTTATTATTAGGCGGAAACTTCCTGTAAAGTGCTTCATATGCTTCCTGTGCAGAATGCAGTCAAGACAATAAGACAAAAAACTATACGCTACAAAATGTTCACTCGTTCGAATTATAACTCTGGCCTTTGTTCTTACCTACTCCCGCCAGAGATATCTCGTGAAATCCTGCAGGAAATGTTCTCTCCGTGAAAATGTAAAAGAGGACGATATCATCCAAAAATCCCTAACGGTGCTACTTTCGATCGATCGCTGTAGTCGTGTGTGCGTGACGTCATGCCCGCGCGCATTGTGCTTGGCTTGGCAGGCTTCGAAACGGAGCTCGGAGGCCGGCAGCAGCTCATCCCAGCATGCAATGCGCCCCCTTACTCGTGTATAAACAGACATCTCGTCCGCTTTACATTTTCCCAAAGAGAAAATTTCCTGCAGGATTTCATGAGATATCTCTGACGGGAGTAGGTAAGGACAAAGGGCAGAGTTATAATTCGAACAAGTGAACATTTATGTACACATAGCTACCAAGATGGAAGCCGTTGGATGTTTTCGTTCTGTGATCATGTGAAATGAAGCGAGCGTCGAGCGAATTTTGCGATCACGCTTTCCTACCTGCTCTCTTATTTATGTTGTTTGTGCACAGCGCGGGCGTGCGGTGTACTTGCGTGTTGCAGATGAGCATTGGACTGGCATTTACAGGTGATTATAGGCGAAATAGAGTAGAGAAACATTAAGACTTTGGTAGTAAATACATTTCGTGTTTATGTACCATTATTCTTTTATTGAGACGTTCCAAGTGCCTGTGGTGGTGCTGGTAGCTCTAGTACTATAGCCCGCGTACAGTTGCGCAGGTCAATGGTGCTGGCGGTTCAAGGTTAGAGATGATGCCCAGGATGATGATTGGATAGGATGATGTTTATTACTTGAGCCTAGCTCTAGTACTATAGCCCGCTTTGCTATCCGCGGGCTATAGTACTAGAGCTAACTTGAGCCGTGCTGGCTGCTGTGTCTGTCAGTAGTTTATTATTAATAATAATATTATATCATTATCAATTTACCCAGCACCTTTGACATTTACAAATATCACAAAAGCACATATAAGTTGCACATTATGTGACCCTTCAAGGCATGACAAACGACAAGTACCATTAATTTACCTACATTATGCGTTTTTACTTTTTAAATGTGAAATTCCACACTTCAAAAAAAAGGGGAGCATTGCTGCTTTACAACCAAAACAAAAGTCACGTGTGTCTCCAGGCGATTGTGATGATAAAATTCTAGACACTTCAACGGTTACGCATTGCAAAACATTTTAGTCTTTATAATAAGAATAAGACGTAAATTAAAATCATAATTAACCGCACTTAACCGCAATTACCGCACAAAAATAGACAAATGGACAAACATCATTCAAGTACACGAACAGACTACTTATTTCGCCTATCACTTGGTTGATACAGGTGACGTCAAAGGAGCACCCAAACATGGAGTCAGCTGATCGACATCACAGAAAGGATAAGAACTGCTGTCAGTGTCATGGGCATCATTACTAAAGTAGTCTATTTGTAAGTGAATGTATCATTAATACAAGTAGACTAATTAAAAAGGCCTGTTGCAGTTTGCGGCTGTTCATACCAAAACATGTTCAAGCGTGGTCCGTAACTTGTATCTTGGAGAGAGACAGATCACTGATCAAGTTTAGGCCCACAGGCACTTGAAGCGTTTCAATAAAATATATACGCAGGGGTCGTGTGTGCTGTGCACGGCGACAGTTAAATATATTTTTTTTTATTAATAAATAAATATATTTATATATATTTAACTGTCGCCGTTCACAGCACACGACTCCTGCGTATATATTTTATTGAAACGCTTCAAGTGCCTGTGTTTAGGCCTACTGTCTGAGTACAGTGTGTGTGTAGCTCTACTCTAGTAGTAGTACTATAGCCCGCGTTCAGTAACCTGCTACAGCCTGCGGCAGTTACTGAACGCGGGCTATAGTACTAGAGCTAGTGTGTGCAGAGAATAACGTCAGTGACACCTAGCTTGGAGTAATCATTCTGACAATATGATTACTCCAAGATAACACTAACAGTTACAGACAGAAATTGAGAGTCTGAGACAGTCGCTAGACATGCTCGATGATAGCTCGACCATAGCTCGATCTCTCGATACGATACTATTTTTTCAGTATCGCAACACAACAAGTCTATATGTGATTGCTCAATACGATACTGTAGCAATTTTGTATGAACCAGCATTTTGCCGTTTAGACGTGCGACATATTAATACTCTGTAGACTGTAGGCTGTAGATTGCAGTAAATATAGATTGTACAGTAGTGTGGGTTCACAGACAGTATATTCTAGAGAATGACAAAAACTTGTCACAATGATTTGAGGAGACCATATGAAACAACAGAACTTTTTTGGCTGATTGCAAAAGATTTGGGAAGTGGCAGAAGCCACACAGAAGAAAGAGAAAGAGGCACACAGAAGATATAAACACAAATCCTCATTCAAGCAATTTTAGACTTTGAAGTCGATGCATATTGTTTAAAGCAAATAGCGATAATAGCAAATTTATAGTAATTTAACAAATACCAGGAAGCGTGGGAAAAAAACATTCCATCGACATGGGAAATAAACAATTCTACTAAAGTGTCTGGTTTACTTGGTCATCAATTTAGATGCTCTTATCAGCGACTCTAACCCTAAGCATCACCTAAACTGGAGATTCTCCAGCCTGGACCCCTTGGCAAACTGGAGACCACATTGCGCGCAGATCGTAGATTGCGAGCGCCGAAGGCGCTCGCCCATTACGGGTGGGGTCCAGGGGCCAATAATAAGCCATTCTCGCCTGTCTGCCCTCCTTCTTGGCAGCATCAATTTTGGCTTGGTGGCTTGCCAGCGCCACATGTTTGACCATATCGTTGATGCCCCCATACTTCACTGAGAAAGTGGAGACACAATAGGTACATTCAACCTTCGAGTTGTCCTTGTTGTCCCCAACCAAGCCACGAAATCTGTCCTCTCTGAACCATTCCTGCTTCCATGAGCACAAATATTTCTTCGATTTGGTTTTGGACTTGTCTTCTTCTTTGCCTGCAGCACCTTCGGCGGTGCTTTTTCGCTTAGACATGATCAACCGGAGATTTTGGGAAAATGGCCCCAAAACGGGAGATCTCCCGCCCAAAACGGGAGAGTTGGAGTGTCTGTATCCTGGCTTCATTCACTGCATGTATGTCTGTAAGACTGTACTGGTTTTGTTTGTGTGTAGTGTTCTATGATAAATGTATTCATTGCAAATATTTAAATAATTGTGCCTGGCAAGGTTATTCCTTTTCTACTGTTTGTTATATTCTAATCTCGTTGTAGCTTGTTATTTGTTTATTGTGTTGTAGCATATTTAGTTCATTTGGTTTATATGTGCATATATGTGATCATGAACGTGAGTAAAAATGGGGTTTATGTGTGATGCCAGTCATTTAGAACAAGATATACATTGCATGGTATATTTGTAAGTGAATTTCAGAGTCAGAATTTCATTGTTTGTACTTGTTGGTGTTGATATCAAATACTATAAGTACCTATGGTAGACCATTTATACACCATAATATTATTCGTAGCTGAAAATGCATGTTAAAGTAACAAAAGTAGGCAACGTAGCAAAAGAAAATATGCTTTCAGGAAAGATAAAAAAGTTGCCATGCGAACAGACAAATGCAGCAAATATATTTTTAATTGATGAACAAGGACAAGAAGAACAATTCCTTTATTTTTCTTAAAACACCAACTGTGTAGCAAGTGCTATGTGTTAACATCTGATGGTTAAAAAAAATAATTCCTGTTGGTTTACAGAATATTTTCAGTTAAATTGGGTGTAAATTATAACAAATGCAAAATTTTTTATTTAATATTTACTAGAAATATTCTGTTAAGTCTTGTAAAATTGTTGAGAATTGTTTGCTCACACTCACAGTGCAGTGCAGGTGGCACGGCGTTAAGCGCATTCACTAATGAAGTTAAAACATGAGTTTGCAGCCACATAAGGCCCTACTACAAAGTGAGGTAGTTTCTCATTTATTATGAAGGATTGCAATTTGCATTATCTTATATTTCAGTGTTAATTTAAGTTAGATTAAATCCATATATTTATCTTGAACAGAAAATTGTTTTTGTTAAGAAGCAATTGGGTATAAATAATAATAATTGTACGTTTGCGGTTAGTTCCCGGTCTGTAACGTTCAAAATGTCAATTTAAAAGTGCGACTGTATCAGGGGGCAGCACAGTCATATAGTGTCATGGGAGCATCCACCCATGGTCATCTTCTTAAAAAATACTAACATACAATCCGACTGTACTGAACATCTGGGATGAACAGGCATCTTCAATTGAAACAGAAAATCTTGGCAGGGATTAGAGAGCTGATATAATCCGTAGTGGCGTTTACATACTGCAGCCATAAAAAAAAACGTTGCTCAGAAGTGGGTGTATAATATTAGGGGCAGCAAGGATTCTGGAACGGCCTGTTTTTCTCAATTATTTAAATTTTCCATGAGGTGATAGAAATGAGTGTTTTTAAGTAGAAAACGTACGTTGAATTGTAACCAATGTCATTGTTAAGTTTTTATGTTGCTCTTAACCCACCTCTAACCCCCTCCCCATTCAGACATTTACTGAACACTAATACATATATCATGAAATAGCCCAGGGATCCTGCTATATCACTGTCTGTATTTTCTTAATTTTCAGCTCCTACACGTGCTAGTTGATGTCGTGCGGGACACGATGGGTGGCGGGCCTAGCAGCGGTGTCAGTTTGACTCGACCACGGTCAGCAAGACACCCGAACGCAGTGCTGCAACCCTCAGCAGTATTAGCCAATAGCAGAGAGGATGTTCTCCCAGGAAGTCTCTGCCTGTTGCACACCTGTTTGCTGGATGACTGGATACAGATTGATGCAGGTGTGTCAAAAATGAAGCCCATTAGGAAATGTAGTGTACTTCTCCCTCTTAATAATTGATGGTAATTAGACCCATGTCAATAGCAAATATTGCCTGTACTTTTATGATTAATGCAGTTTGACCCATGCCTCACCCCTGGAGGCTGCACCCAGTAAACCAAGGGTATATAAGTGAGTGAGAAACGATGCCCAATATCGTATTCTGTGATGAAGGTGTTCCACATGTTTAACCGCAGTCATGATGGCCGCATCATTGATGCTCATGTTTGCATTTGTGCAGGTCTGCATGGCTTCAGGGAGAAGGTTCTGCGCTGCTACGGCATGCTGTACAAGGACTGCAGCACTGCCTACTGCAGCAACCGGCACGGCGTGCTCAGCAACAGCCCGCTGTCGGCGCACATGCGCCGCAAGTCGCGCACGTTCGGCTTCAAGCCGCACAGCCGGCTGAGCGACCACTTTGAGTACAACCACATTCCCGCGCAGCTGCAGACGATCCAGCGCATATACGTGCGCGGCGTCATCGCCGTGCAGGGCGACCTCGTCGTCATGGACTTGCTGCGCACGAGCAAGGCAAACCGCTTCAGCTGGACGCTGTTCGGCCTGCTCGACCTCAAGCGCAACAAGTTCCTCGGCACGTTCGGCGAGCAGTCGTTTGAGGTTCTCAAGGAGCTGCTCTACTGCCAGGTGAGCCCCGACAAGTCAAAGTGTCTCGTCGTCATCCCGGACAAGACGCCGGGCGAGGCAGCGCGCGGCGACCTCGAGTTCTTCCTGCGCGTCTACGAGACACAGACACTGCAGGAGCTCTCCTGCATCCGGCTGAGCAAGAACTACTTCAAGACGCAGTTCGTCTTCAGCCCCTGCTTCCGCTGCGAGCGGCTCGCCATCACGAACATCGTCTCGCCGGGGCCGTACTCGCCGAGCGTCAGCCTCGTCGAGAACATCCTCGACCCGAGCGTGATGCGCACGGTGAGCATCCTCGACGAGGTGGGCCGCGCGTCCGTCGCCCACATCGTGCAGCCGTTCATCTCGCACCTGCTCTACACGAAGGACGGCAGCGTGCTGCTCGCGTCGCTCAACGACGGCCGCTGCACGGGGCACGCGCGTGCCAGCCGACGCAACCGCTACTCGTTCGCGCAGATCTTCGTGCTGTGCGCGGAGTCGCTGTGCATCCTCAGCGTCGTCGACTACACGCACAGCACGTGCGCGCTGCACCAGTGCAGCATCAACTACACGCCTGTCTACTCGCAGTGCGGCAGTCGCATGGCCGTCATCAGCTATAGGCAGCGCTACGCGCAGCAGGACGATCCGAGCCACGAGCAGGTTCGAGTCTATCAGCTGCCCGTGCGCAGGACACTGCAGAACTTCTGCAGGGTGAAAATCCTGCACCACGTTCCGCTTGAGAAGGTGTACTTGCTGCCACTTCCAGTCCGACTGTTGGACTATCTTCGCTTTGAAGCAGAATATCTGTGAGGTTCCAGAGAGAAGAGATGAGAGAGAGAGAGAGAAAGAGAGAGAGAGCAGATTTTGTAATGCAGTGAAAACTTTACATCTAGTGCATACAGCCTCGTCTACTCGTTTCTTATACAAAACTACGTCATGTGCAGTTTAGTCAGTAAAATCTGTTGCAACTTAGTTAGTTTCAATGATAACTTTTCTCTAGTTAGATTTGGTGTTTGTTGAGTTTACTTGCTTGATGAGTTAAGATCATTATATGCCATTATTTTTTACATGCATATATATTTTTTATTTGATACATTTCCTTGTCAGTAAAATAAAGTTTTACTTAATTGTTATTATTTAACAATGCAGAGGGAATTACATTGAAATAATTATTATATTTTATAGTTATACCGACTACGCTCCATCAGACTCACTGTGCACTGCACCAGCTGACAAGTGCATGGCTTTGTATATTGTATAGAACTAGCAGGTCACATATTATAGTGCGAGGAGTAACATTAGAATGTTGTGTCAAAGATGTATAGGTGCAAGAAAATTCTCACTGTGTTAATTGTTGGCTTCTCATTTCAATGAGGGTCAGATTCGTCATGTTGGTCGTGGTGACATCCCAATAACCTGTTATTGATAACAATACTGAATGGCCAACAGTAGGACTGTAATGTTTAGGGATTAGTACTCACCACTGTAATGCACCATAGGGCGCATGTGTGCCATACTAATTTACATCTTAGGTTACCGGTGTTCCATGCTGGTGCATCCTAGGTGCAATGTGTGATATTCTGGTGCATCCTAGTTTACCCGTATGCCATGCTAGTGCATCCTAGGTGCAATGTATTCTATGCATGTGCATCCTAGTTTACCTGTGTTCCATGCTGCTGCATTCTAGGTTACCTGTGTGCCATGTTGGTGCATCTTAGGATACCTGTGTTCCATCCTGGTGCATCCTAGATGAAATGTATGCTATAATGGTGCATCCTAGGTTACCGGTTTTTTGTTCTGGTGCATTCTAGTTTACCGGTGTTCCATGCTGGTGCATTCTTGTTTACTTGTGTGCCATGCTGGTGCATCTTAGGTTACCGGTGTTCCATGCTGGTGCATCCTAGGTTACCGGTGTTCCATGCTGGTACATCCTAGGTGCAATGTGTGATATTCTGGTGCATCCTAGTTTACCCGTATGCCATGCTGGTGCATTCTAGGTTGCCTGTGTACCTTGTTTATGCATTCAAAGGGTGTCTGTGTGAAATTTTAGGCATTTGTAATGTAGAAACTATATCCCCCTTTAATTTGCTTCCACATATATTTTACTGCATCAGGGAATTTTGAACCCACTGCAACTGCTTTGCTAGAGCGCAAGTGCTTTGACTAATATAGGCCAGCACTTGTGCATTCATGGCTGTGGCATTCATATTTTGTATAGTGTGTGGGTTCACTTATGCTATTTGTATTTATTTAGAACATAGTTGATAGGTCGGTTTATGATAAGTGCTCAACATTTAACGCAGTGTGCTCAGCAATGAAGAGCAGGAGCTATTGTTATGATCGTAAAATATTACTAAACCAATGATTGAAAATCAGTCATTTCATTTCCTCCCATGTGTGTTGGAATATATTCAACAACGTATTAGCAATTATGTGCTTTTGATATGCATCTTCCCACGAATGCTGAGTGATAGCATTCTCCAATGGCGAAGCACACTCATCAATTTTATGATATCATGACATACCATCATTTTCTATCCCTTTCCACCCAGCCCACCCACCCACCTACCCACTAGCATGCCTAGATGACTGTGCATATTGTATACGTCTTGTTGATCTGTAGCGCAGTGAAATGGTCAGTAGTACCACCTGATCACGGGGCCTGTTAGTCATGCCCTTCTCCACACATAGTAATGTTATGCTATTTAAATGACTGTGACGAACCATGTACTTTCCCTCCAATACGTGTATTTCGATGTGCCTAGAAATGAATATGTGTACAGTCAGTCAGTCCTTCACCTAATAAGCATTAAAGTAGTGTTTGTTAGCTCATCTGACATAGTCAGATGCAGCTTGTAGAATCGTATGAGCGTGCGTCCGTGCGTCCGTGCGTCCGTCCGGCCGTCCGTGCGTCCGTCCGGCTGTCCGTGCGTCAACAGTTGGGCACAAATCTTAACTGCTTGACGTACGGTTACGATATTCGGGACGTTGAGGGGAATCGTCAAAACGAGTTGGGATGTTGAAGCTGGGGGGTCAAAGGTCAAAGGTCAAGAGGTGTAAAAGAAGGGGGAACATTCCCTCCTTAACTTAAGGTATAGGGAGGAAATGCAGAATTGCGGCACAAATCTAAACAGCTCGACCTAGGCTCGTGATAGTCGGTGTATAGCATCATGGTAGAAAAAGCCATCACTGTGCTGAAATTGGAGGTCACAGGTCAAAGGTCAATGGGGCACAGGGCAGATTTTAGACATTTTCTGAGGACATGGTCTGACGGAGCGATTGGAAAACTTTTTTTGTTTCAGTGGTGACCTAGCATTTTTATTGCTTTATTAAAAGGACCATGAAATGTACTTTCTGCTGACATGCGAAGAGTAAGTGTCGGATAACCTTTTGACCCTCAAGAGGAGGGTTAAACATGGATTTATTTACTGTTAGAAAAAATTTGACTGCCGGGTTTGCTAGTAGAATCTATACATGCCTGGATGTATGAGGCTACAATGTCACAGTGAAATTTCAAAAGCTAAATTTGGTTGAAGGTTTATGCTCCTTAAATCGTATAATTTCTATGGCATTCTGTACTGTCAGTGTGTTACATGTAACGTATGCCACTGCCAGTGGCCACTGCCAGTGCATGTGGTGGTGATAGTACTGTGTAGTTTTTGCCTGTGTTAATTAGTTACAGGTGGTAGCTCTCTATTTCAACCTGTAACATTCCTTTGAGAAGGTTCCTGATACCATCCCTGTGCCTTCCACTGTTTCGGCGCGTATGTGAACACATTTGGGACTAACAGGGTTTACTAGAATTCCACCACTCCACCAGTCACCGCAGTAGACGTTAGATAAGCGCTGTCGCTCTGCGGCACTTGTTAATTAGATAAGAGGGTATTTTATTAAAGACATTCAATGTTTAGAAATTTCTTGTACGGGAAATTTGCATACATTTGGGAATTCCTGAGTGGTTTTGTTTATACCACAATTTTGGCCAGTTTTGTATGATCATGCGCAGACTTGCTGCTAACTCTGTCTATGGCGCTCTTTGCTCTATCACATGCCTGTGTCAGAGTAAACGGCTACCTAGGTATAGAGTTAACTTGTTATAATCTGCTAGGTGATCTTAATGTGTGCTGCGATGAAGGAAAAATGCAAGTGTAATTTTTATCATTTAAAAGCTCATGGTGCCTGTAAACTGCTTTAAATTGACTTTTTTTTTAGTCTAGTCATTTTGTCATACCTTTGTGAAATAACGTGAGTATAGTATTTGTATAAATATGTGTAATTATATTATGCAAGAATGCTAATATAAAAATGCAAGTGTTTGCACAAGCATAACTTGAAATTTATGTCATAATTCCTTGCAGTGACGCTTGTAATTCTTGATTCTGTTTCTATAGCTGGGATCAGGAATTTCATAGTTTTCAGTGTATCTTGTGAATGGCGAGTTAACGTTTCTAATACTGTAAATGGGGCGAGTTAACGTTTCTAATACTGTAAATGAACATAAGATTTTATATGAATCTAAAGAAATGTCATATGCATCAATGCACACTCTGTGCCATTTATTGCCCCCACTGAATTTTCCAGTACATAACAAAAAGCATGTGCCTACCATGAATTGGGCTGATGAAAGTAACATTTTAAAAGCTGCTGTGATAATGTAGGTGGTTCGTATACACGCTACATTTACATGCTTTTGCTTGATATTCGCACACCATGGCTTGAATGCACATGGACTTGAATACACTAAAACCATATTCCTGCACAATAACTGTGTATGTATATGCAATTGTTTTGCACTTCATTCAATATTGATACAGTACATACTATCCAATTAATGTTTTACTGATAATTCAATATTGACTAGCATCACCAACAGGATCACTGCTGCCCTCTGATATCACCCTGTCGGAGATAGTGTGACTGGCATAGAGGGACAGTGGTGGTGGTCTAGTGGAGAGCACACTTGACTATTAAGGTCTAGGGTTTGAGTCCCACTGTGGCCACTGTTGTTGTGCCTTTGAACAAGGTACTTTATCCCGATTTCCTTCAGCTGAAACTTGCGATAGAAAAGGGTTTATTTCGCCAGCGTGAGGCTATAACAACCCCCCTACATATCAGCGCGTAGTTTCCCTGGCAAAGCTCGTCACGGAAACCTAATCAATGCCGTTGTGGAAGCCCTATGCTCTATGGGAGCCAAACGGGAGAAAATAACATTACCCTGTCCTAGGCATCAGTAGAAGTAAACACTACAATTGTGATATGTTAAATTTAGATATACATATTAGTATTCTTGATTAAACATCAAACTCGCTGTAAGACAATGTGACCATGACAGTGTTCCAAAGCTATATTTGTGTGGGTAAAATACCCCCCAAGAAGAACATTAAACTTATTAGGATTAGTGTTGGAAGTTCTGAACTGTTTGCATAACGAAATGACATATAATACAATTGCACTACACCATGATGTTTTAAAGTATAGATCTTCATTGCTCCCTCTCTCTTTCTCTCTCTAACGTAAAAAATCGAAAATATGCCTAAATAGCTAAATGTGTAATATATATGTGACAAGATCTAGATATTCACACCGGGTAGGAAGCTAAAACATCCAAATTATCTTTATTTACATCCTATTAATATCAATCTAAGGCTGTTGTCACTTCAATATCATTTTAACCTGATGCAGAGTAATATACATTAACTATAGAAACGCATGTTTGTTTTATATTTAATAGTCCCAACACATGTCAGAGAAATAATGGCTGACATGAGAAATATTCAATGTTATGTGTAAACAATCTTTCTACATTATTAGCTCAGAATGTATTACACATGTACTAAGACAAATTTAACCAATATGGATCAGGGCCATAGCCAGAGGTGAATTTTGTAGGAGGCAAATATTGTGAGTTAAAGAACAAGGAGCGAAGCGAGCCAATAGGGCGTGGGGTATGGGGCCTGCTTAAGGGCCCCAGAAGAAATTTTGTAGGAGGCATTTGCCTCCTATTGCCTAATGGTAGCTACGGCCCTGATATGGATACTTCTATGCATCTTTCACCTGACGTTGGACTGTGGCAAACCTTAGGCAAATTTAATGCCCGGCACACACGGTGAGATTCGTGCTGAGCACGGAGCGTGAGTTTCGTGCTCAGCAGGAATCTCACACCCCCGCACACGGTGAGATTCGTGTTGATCACAGAGCGTGAGTTTCGTGCTCAGCAGGAATCTCACACCCCCGCACACGGTGAGATTCCTGCTGAGCACGGGTCTTATGAGCGGGTGCCACTGTAGGTCATGTGACTAATCAAAATGGCGGAACCAATCAAAATGCGCCACCACTGAGTGAGTGTGAGCAGGAGTCTTACATATCCCGCACTCGCTGAGTTTTCAGCCTCGCGAGACCAAAATAATCAAACACGACAGATATTTTCCTCACCGCCTCGCGAGACCGAAAACTCACATAAATCGACCCCGCACATGGTGAGATTCGTGCTGAGCATGATCGAATCTCACCGTGTGCGGGGGCCTTAAATTGCCATTATTCATATAGTGGCATTCAGTGAACTTTTTCTTCCAACCTTCGTGGAAATCGTTTAATTAAACAAATTGCTTTTGAGTGGGCATGCGCAGTGTACGACTAAAGCATGTTAGTGTTATTTGATCTGGTGGCTTTGCATCACTACTGTAAACTATATAGCTTATAACTATATAGCTGTATAGCTGTAATAGCTATATATATTTATGTGTCAGTGTGCAGCAGCTAGCGTGCGGTGTACTTGCGTGTTGCAAATGAGCATTTGACCGGCATTTACATGTGATTATTGGCGAAATATAATAGAGAAACATTAAGACTTTGGTAGTAAATACATTTCGTGTTTATTTACCTCTTTTTTTTATTCAGACGTTCCAAGTGACTTTACTGTTACTCTCCCTCTCTCTCTCACTCTCACGCGCGCTCTCGCTCTCCACTGTTTCACTCCTAACTCCTTCGTTCAACTCTCACTCCGACTCCGTCCCTTTGTCCGACTGCCTTCCCCGCGCAATTCCGATTCCTTATATTTTTCATCATCACGTGACTTCGTGATTGATACAATAG